GGATTAAGTACCCAGCTGACAGAAACATAATCGGTCAGCGGAGAGGCAGAAGATGCAAACTCCTCTTCTACAAGTGTAGGTTCTGCGCAGACAGGAGGCAGGGTCATAGGCAGTGTACTCTTGAGCGCTATACGTGACCTTTCCTGCCTTTCCCAGAAACTGAGTATTGATAGACACCATCTATATCCCGCTACAGAGGCAAATTGGACGAAACCACAATATGGCGAGGATGATAGGAAAACCACAGAGAAATAGCTAGGTAGCGGGAAACGGAAAGCGACACGGAACTTCAGAGAAGCAGAACGAACGCCACGGAGATGCAAGTCAAAGGTCCAAATACCCAGAGGCACACACTAACAATAGCTCACACAAAGAACTTAGAGCAGGAGATAGAGGTAAAGGGACCTGTAGCGAGACGCAGGAAATGGGAGAGAGGATGCGACTAGGGATGTGAGGAGAGGCAGAGACACGGAAACGCTGAGGGCGTCATGAGCATGGACCAACCAAGCTGGATGCGCCCCTTGTGTTGTCTCACGGGGGAAAGCAACCTGGCGCTGCAGGAATCGTGGATATGTTCTCTCAGGGAAATTGTTTGAGCGTTGCAAGTATTCATCCACGAACTGCAGCCTCTTCAATACATCGTCCGGTCCATAGAAGGTGATCCAGATGTTCTCTGGTCTGTAATGCATTTTGTGGAACTGCTTCAGATGTTCAAATGTCAAGTTTGGAATAGCAAGTGGCTCTCCTCCGAAATTCTCTGAATGGGTTGGCATGTCTGGGAACAAAGCTTTCACGCGGTGCAGCCACTCATCATTATCAGGGACACCTGCAGACCCCTTCATCTCACTCAGCACTACTCCCTTATATTGAAGCGTACAGAGCTCCGGTGTCTGCACGCAGTCAATCCCCTGACTCTTTTCTGCTCCTTCCTCATTGGATTCCGTTGCTGTCTGGGATATGCTGTCGCCTTTACCCTCTGGTACCAGTTCATAGCGCCATCCCTCCTGTGCAAGAATAAGGGGATCTTGTACGACCAACGGAGCAAAAACAGCGTCAATGTACACTGAAGCAAGGTTGTAGAAATCTTTGTTATTGAGGGAAGCCAGCTCATAGCACGTGCGGTCCGGCCATGTGCTTGCATTCAAGTATGTGCTCAGACCTCTCCGCAGCAGCTTTGAAAAAACAGAGTGCACAGGGAAGCGGGAAGATCCCTGTAACACACTGTGTTCTAAAACGTGGGGTGTCCCGTAGGAGTCAGTCACGGGGGTTCTCACGCAAATACTGAAGGTTTGCTCCCGCTCCGAAGCGATGGTCTCTATGCTGAGGACTGTTAAGCCACTCACGTGAACATACTCCGCAACCTGCATATGCTGCTCTGCCACATATCGGGAGGAGCGCACGGAAAACGCAGGGTGATGCACGGGTTGCGAGTCCACTGCCGCCTTCTGCAAGGCCTCGGCACCGGAGGCTACTAGGTCAGAAGCGAACAGGGGACCTTCAGGTGAGAATAACTCTGCGTTGCACACAGCGTTCTGCCCATTTAATACTGTCCCCATAGGCTGTTTCTGCCCGTCGGAAGTGGGCGTTTCAGCGCTGGTCCATTCTGAGGCCAACAGGACTATGGAGCAAAGGAATACATTAAAAAGGGACCCCAGGGGGCCCACAGCGCCTGGAACATACATAGCAAAGGAGGGCCAAATGGCCATTCGTCAGTAAATGCTGAGTGTAGCACACTAGGGAAAAGGGGGAAACCGGACACCACAAGCGGGAAGCAGAAGGGGATTTCGCCTGCCCTTCACGAAAGATGAGTCGATGGAATTAAAACTATATTGCATAGCGCACTGATTTATGCGCATGCTACAGCAAACAGCTGAGTATATGCTTGTGCATCGATTGTAACTGCCTCTCACTTGTTGTCCCTTGCTCAGAGGCTGGCGCGAAAGGGAGAGCCTTGAACCTCAGTGCATACCGTACGTCGAGGATTTTTCACTTCTCTCCACCTTTTTTCTATGGGATCTAAGTTTTTTCATGAGGCTTCATGGTGCTGATGCAATTCGTTAATTTCCTTGCGCCTACTCATTGAAGAGGGACTGGGGTCGAGTGCACTATGCTGGGGTTATAACGTTCGCATGAGACAGACTTGCCTGTAAAATGCATTCTTCATAGCTCACTGTTTGACATGGGTGTCCATTTTTCGTATTCCTTCCTAGGCAGCACTCCGTCATTCAGTTTTGGATCGACGACGGTTATCAGTGTATTGAGCGATGGCCATCTCTTACACGAACTACTATGGAGGTGCATCCAGCTGCCCCCTTGCATCTGCTTCCCCTACAATCGACAACTGAACTTGATGAAGGAAAGGACAGAGAAAAGCATCTAGTCTGTAGAAGCTTGGACTTTTACCACTACGCCTTGGCCTGTCTTGGCGGTTGCAGAAACCTTTTAAAGTCATGAAAATGGACGCCACACACACATTTTCTCGTGTATACTGTGGAGCTGCCTGCCGTAGAGCCTCAATTGCTCGATCTTTAGTTGGCGGGTAG